CCCCTCACAGTGTCCCCCTCCCTCACAGTGTCCACCCCCTCACAGTGGTCACCTCCCTCAGAGTGACCACCTCTCATCACTGTGACTCTAGGACCATCCCTGCCCTGTCTACATCCTACTTTCAGACCCTGCCAGTCTCCCTGAGGTTGTTGGCCTAAGGCTGGCGACAGCGAGCCTTTCCTTAGAGGTCAGATGACATCTGCCATGTGTGCCTTATTCCTAACATCTGAGAAGTTCTGAATCTGGCCCAGATGGGATCAGGTCAGACCCTATCATGCCAGACCCTTCCCTCCCGTGTACTCCCCTCCGTGTGCCTCTGGGGTGGTGGCCCACGCAGGTGGACACGAACAGTCCTTCTCCAGAGGTGTCCCCACTGCGCCAGCTGTCACCCATCCATCCATGCCCCTGGTTTCTTCCCTTTGTCCTGGATTGACTCCTGTGACATGGAAATGCTCACCTGGCTGACCAGAGGCCAAGGGACAGATGGAGAGGGGCTGGTTTCTGTGGGTGGCCGAGCTTCACCGTGCCCATAAATTCCATGCATCTTGGCCCTGAAGTCCTGCCAAGGAAAGACCAGGGTAGCTGGATCCAGCTTGAAAGCACAAGAGTGGAGTAGGAAAGCATAGGCAGCTATGAAGCCTCTCTGGGCATTTCCTGTTTGCTTTTTTATAGACCCTACAGCAGCCCCCTGAGGGGAGTCCTCTAATCCCATCAAACAGATGGGAAAACTAAGGCCAAGGGCACCAGGTAACACAGGGAAAGCACTGATTAGACATTGCTCTCCACCCCTAAAAGAATACTGTAGAGCTGGGACTTGGGCCACATGCCTGTAATCCTAGCCCCGAGGAGGCTGAGACAGGAGGATCATGACAGGCTATCATGGGCCATAAAGACCAATGAAGCTTTGGAGAACCTGGGGTTTTTCTGTAGCCTTCTGTGTGGTTTTAAAGCTTATGTAAAAACCCGTTAATGGATCTTCCATCTCCCATTCTGTTCTTGAGTGACAGCCTTAGCGGGTCACCTGTACCATCCTGGCAGGAACACACAGAATGACTTCCTCTTGACCCCGTGTCTCAGGCTGCTGGTGGTGGAAACCATCCACTGCAGGGAACCTGGGGTAGGTGCGAGGCTGTGGGCTTTGTGGACTCCTGGCTCAGTCACCAAGCTCCACACCCACTGGACCCCCACACTGCCTCCCAAGGCACCTTTACCCTTTCCCTGTGTCCAGAGAACAGCTACCTCCCATCAACATCTGCCCACACAGAAAGACGCCTTTGAAATAGCCCGTCTCCAGACTGTGACCCAAAGCCACAAGATAAAGGGACGGATGATTGGCTCCCAGCGTTGGTTTGGGGACCAGAGCGCTGCAGATAAAGCTGGCTGTGAATCTAATCAGCGCGGCTGGGGACAGTCAGCGCTCTGAGCCGAGAGCTGAGTGCCAGCCACAGAAAGCTTTTGTCCCAGCCGTCTCTCTTCAGTACTAAGCAGTCCTGTGATGCTGAGCAGGTGACATTCCAGGTGACCAGGAGAAGAGTCCACGACGGGGTGGCATCCAGACCAGCTGTTTGAAGTAGCTCATCAGAGCAAGCCCTCAAGCTAGATAGAAACCCTCAAAAGCCCAGACAAGCCCGGGGACCCACCTGCAGGTCTCGCTCCAGGTCGTAGCTCTCCAGGGTCCTGAAAGCGCTGGAATACACCTCCACTGCCTTTGCGTGGAAGACCATCTCGATGGTCACAAAGTCAGAGAAGATTCTCTGCAAGAGAGAAGCCTGGTCAGGGTAGCAGTGTCACAAAGGGTCACACTGTGGATGCTGAGCAACATTCCTGGATCTTTTTAAATGGGGTGGGGGGCAGCCCTCTCCCTAGAGGCAAGAAGACCCCACAGGTGTCAAATCCCTTCCACACCATACTAACAGTGCCCACTTTTGAAAGGCCTCCTAATGGAGACACCAGTTCCCGGCTTCATTCATTTATATACTCACTCATTCATTCCACAAATACTTCCCAAGTATACCCACAACTGCCTGGGCCCTGATGGTCTGGGGAGGGGGGAGTCCTAGTTGATCTTCTGTACGTCAGAGATAAAAGGGGTAAACCCAGGACAGAGGCCTGACTCAGGGCACAGCACGTGCTAAGTCCCTGGGATAGGAAGGAACCTGAGCCTTAGCTTTGGGTGGGGGTGACTGTGTAGGAGGCTGGAAGGCCCCCGGATTGCTACTTTGGGAGGGGCTATTCTTTGACCCTGGGACAAGGTGAGCCAAGGGTGTGAACGCCAAGACTGACAGATCAGAACTGACTGTCAAGAGGTTCCTGAGGTTTAAGGGTGGAAAAGAGAGGGCTGGAGGGTGGGGTAGGCAGGGAAATCCATGGTCAGTCCTGTGAGAACAAGTGGGACTTGACCTAGTATCCCATGATGCCGGGCGGGTGGGGGTTCAGGTGGAGATAAAGGAGACCCTGCCTGCCTCACAGCACCCCAACATGGCTGCTTCCTAAAAGGGCTTTTAGAGCTCCAAGGGGGAGCTAGCTGGACACATTTGGGAAAGAAGAGCAGACACAGGAGAGGATGATGGGGACAGAGCTGTGCCTCAGTATCCTCCCGGTCAGGCGCTGTGCCAAGAGCACTGAACAGCTGGGCGAGGCCAGCCTACCCCAGCAGACAGCAGACAGGCTGTCATCTGCAGCTAGGATCAACTCTCCCAGAGCCCTGGCCTCTGAGGGCTGTGTCGTCACACAGTGCGTGTGTGCCTACTCTCAAACACGGGAATTCACACCCGCTCACGTGCGTGCACACACTCACACAAGGCTGTCACTGCCTACCCGGAGGTCCTTCAGCTTCTGCTCCTGGAAGGCGTCCACTGTCTCTGCCAGGTGGTGGGTAGAGCGGTTGGTGTCCACAGAGGCCCTCTGCGCGCTGGTCTCCGCCTGGGCTCGGGGACACAAGAGTAGAAAGTGTCACAGGGTGAGCCTGGCCCTGAGATACTACTCTGGGTCATTCAGTCCTGCCATCTCCTGTGGGGCACTTTCTCCTGCCTTGGGTGGTCTCTTGTTAACTGGGTCATTGAAGAAAAAGTCAGGCAGACATGGTGAAAGGGTGTTCACTGGGACTGGACAGACCTGCTGCTTAGCTGTGTGTCCTCAGCCAAGCCATTTAACTTCTCTGGGCTCCAGTTTTCTCACTAGTCAGGAGGCAGTTATGAGACCTGCTTGCAAAGTTGGGAGAACTGGATGGTAAAAGTTGGGGAGCCGCTCCACAGGGGAGAGCATGTTCAGCATGTGGGGGGACCCGAGAGCCTCACAGTCAGCTCCAGTACCGCCAGCAACAACCGTCATTTCAAGACAGGCATTTGCTGGTCTGAGCACTACTCGATGGAGGTTCTGTGTTCTTGGTAGCTGATTCCACCCAGGGACAACTGCAGGTGAATGGCCCAGTCCCTCCACACGGGACAAGTTGGCTCTGTGCCAAGACCAAACCCTGAACAACATTCCCTGGAACTAAATCCTGAGTCTGGGGTTTAAGGGCACGTGTGACAGTGAGCAAGTCACCCCTATGGGCCTCTCTTTCCTCTTGTTTAGAATGGGACTCTAACACCAACTAGATGTTTGTGAAATGGAGCTAGGGTCTGGTCCCCAGTAAAGGAAGGGAGCTGGGATCTAAACAGATGGGTGACCAGGAGGTAGGGACACTAGCGGGGCCTGGCATACAAGTCAGGTGCTTGTTCTAGGCTGACGGCCATGCCTGAGCCTCTTGATTCAGGTGTGGTGATCCTCATGTTATAGAATGGACATCTAGAGATGTCTACCTCCTAAATCCTGTGTCCTGTGCACAGGTCACCAGACATGGTCTTCAGGTGTGGTGATCCCCAGGTTATGGAATGGTCATCTAGAGATGTCCACCTCCTAAACCCTGTGTCCTGTGCTTAGGTCACCAGACATGGTAAAGGGCACACTAGGCCACAGTGGCCTGTGGGCTGCTTATTTACTTGACCTGAGGTGTGTAGTGATCCTGAATTCTCTGATAAAGCCCAGGAGTGAGCTGGAGGGGAACTGGGGGAAGATGTGACTGCACAGGAAAGGTGTGGGGAGGGGACAAGGACTGAGGGGCCCAGTGGGACTGTGACCGAGATGCTGGAAGAGATGGGGCCAATCCCCTAGGTTCCCAGAGGCGCAGCCTGCCTACTCATGATGAGGCCAGAGTGCCCCTTGATGGATTCTAACTTCTGATCTTTGAGGAGAGAGACATTGAGAGAGAGAGAGAGAGAGAGAGAGAGAGAGAGAGAGAGAGAGAGAGCGCTAGAGCTAGACAGTGACTGTCAGTCATGGTGATACCCTTCTACAAGGTCAAAGAGAAATTATGACTTATGTCCCTGAAGGGTCACTTTCACAGTGACAAGCAGGGCAGAGATGACTAGCCCTCCACAGTCCTGCACCCAGCTCACAGGCAGGCTGGAGCCTTGGAGAGATGTCAGCGCCATCTCACTGAGACTGGCATTCATATCCAAGCTTGCCTGAGTTTGCTTGGGTAGTAGGGCTGGGGCTGGCAGTGACTACCCTGTGATCAGGATGCAGGTGACCCCATGACTGTGTGGCTTGCTTGACAGAGCCCAGACCACCTGACCCTCAGCGACCACCCTCCCTTTGCATCACCTTGCTGTGCTGAGCCCCATGGGCACCGACCTCACTGGTTAAGTCTCACCCACCATTCCATGAAGTCTTTGTTACCTGTATAAGATGGGGAGACGCTGCCTGCCCAGGCGAAAATGTAATGCACAATACTCACCTGGGACTGAGGAGGGCTGTTAAGGTTTCAGGTGAAGCCAGGTGGCCTGCAGGTTAGGTAGGTACCCTGATGTGGGAGTCCCCTCTGTATGCTATGAATATGTTTTAATAACATTGGTTAATAAAGAAGCTGCTTTGGGCCTATGGCAGTGCAGAATAAAGCCAGGCAGGAAATCCAAACAGAGATTTAGAGAGAAAGTAGGCAGAGGCAAAGAGATGCCATATAGCTACCAGAGGAGACAGATGCCCCCAAATCTTACCAGTAAGCCATGAGCCTTGTGGTAAAATATAAAATAATAGGAATGGGTTAATTTAAGATGTAAGAGTTGGTTAATAGGAAGTCTAAGTTATTGGTGGTGTGGGACAATTCTGTATCCTGTCAATTATGTTCTAAATAAGCGCTGATTAGCCAGTAGCCAGGCAGGAAGTACAAGCGAGACAACCAGACAGGAAATAGAGGCGGGGCAATGAGAACAGGAGAATTCTGGGAAGCAGGAAGCTCCCTCTGCAGTCTTGCCCAGACACTGAAGAAGGAAGATGTGACCTGCCCGCTGAAAAAGGTACCGAGCCATGTGGCTAACATAGATAAGAATAATGGGTTATTATAAGTTGTAAGAGCTAATAAGAAGCCTGACCTAATGGGCCAATCAGTTTATAACTAATGCAGACTCTCTGTGTGACTTCTTTGGAAGCTAGCGACTATGAGAACCGGGCAGGACAGAAACCACAGACAACAGCCAAGAAGTGTTGTAATTCATATAGTTTCTGTGCGATTGTTTCAGGTCTGGGTGGCCAGGAAACGATCGAGCAGTCTCTGACTACAGTACCCCTTGGCAGCCCCTGCCCAGTGGATCCGGATCCCCAATCCCTCCAGTGCACTGTGTGGAATGGCCACCCTGCCTAGCAGAAGAAAGGATACAATCATTTGTCGATCTGAGGGCGACTTCTGCCTTAATTTCTCCAGCTTTTCCAGTTGTTTGATCTCATTATTTTGGACACGTTTACATTTCTTGATATCTGCCTACGCAGGAAAAGAGGACTGTTTTCTAGAGATCCCAAGGGGCCAGGCCCCACTCCTGCACACCCTGAGGTGCACCCAGCTCACCTGGGTCTGCTTTATCTGGGCTCCATAGAGCTTCAGGGGGCTGATGACCTTGGCCTCCAGCCTCTCCACCTGCAGGGCGCATGGAACAGCATAAGAAAATAGTGAAGACAGATCTATGACCAGCTACCTGCACCCCCGGGAGACACACACAGGGCCCACACCAGGCGTGGCAAGAGCCTGGCCTGGCCCTGCCCTCAAGGGCTCTGGCCATGTGTTTGTCCCACTAAGCCAGCATCCCCAGCTGTGTGCTGGGACAGTGACTGTGCCCCAGACTATCTCAGAGGTTAATGGGACACTTTCAGAGCCTGGGAGGACAACAGCAGACACAGAACTTAGGGGTATCAGTAGGGAGGTTGACATGTTCTGGGGACAGTTTATGTGGGGAGTCCCATCATGACAGCAACAGGACTTCAGGCCCTCGCTTCTCCTGGGCCCAGTGCAGTTCTGGGCTCCAGATGGCCCCAAGGTGTTGAGATGCTTGGAAGAGGAGATGGAGGTTGCACGAAGCAAACACTAGTATAGGACTCCAAGCTGGTTGCTCTTCGTGATCTTTAGTACTGGCAGGGCCAGTGAGCAGGAACAGGAAGCAGTGCAAGACCCTCAGACCTCATCCCAGGCTTCAGATTCCAGGTTCTCTTAGCAACCAGCAGCTCAGGAAGAAGAGAGAAAGGGGAAGCCCCCCCCACCCTATGATGGGTTACATTGATTGTCAACTTGACAGGACCTAGAATTACCTAGGAGACAAACTCTGACCACATCTGTGGGGGCAGTTTCTAGATTGGATTCATTGAGAATCCAATGAATTAGGTGGGAAGACCCACCCTAAGAGTGGGTGACACCATTCTATGGGCCAGAGTCTGAACTGAATAAGAAGGAGAAAGGGAGCAGAGCAGTGACATTCGTTTTCCTGCTTCCGGACTACAGATGTGTTGTGACTAGTTGCCTCATCCTAACCACCATGACTTCCCCGTCACATGTGCCAGAATAAACCCTGGTAGGGGGCAATTCTGTATTATGTCAATTACATTTTAAATAAATGCTGATTGGCCAGTAGCCAGACAGGAAGTAGAGGCAGGGAAATGAGAACAGGAGAATTCTGGGAAGAAGGAAGCTGATTCCTCCCAGTCCTGCCCAGATCACTGAAGAAGCAGGATGTGACCTGACCCGCTGAAAAAGGTACTGAGCCATGTGGCTAACATAGATAAGAATAATGGGTTAATATAAGCTACAAGAGCTAATAAGAAACCTGAGCTAATGGTCCAATCAGTTTATATTTAATGTAGACTTCTGTGTGATTCTTTGGGGCTAAACGGCTGTGGGAACAGGGCAGGACAGAAACCCCAACAAGCAAGGCTCCCTCATGTTACAAAACCCTTCCCACCTTAGGTTATTCTGTCGGGTGTTTGACTGAAGCAGTGACAAGCTAATACACCCACAGTGCCCACAGGACCCTGAGGTGGCACTGCTCTGGGTCTTGAGGCTTCACCAGCAGCAGAGGAGTCCCTGGTTGAGGACTGTGCAGGGCCAGTATCTGGGCAAGACAGAGAGGTCTGCCTTCCTGCCATGGCTCCTAGCATCTTGGGGATCAGACGCACCAAAGGAACAGGAGTTGCTGAAGCACCACCAGGCCATTCTTTTCCAGTGCCCTGAACCCTTGAGAGGGACAGCGTCATGGTAAAGGGTCCTGAAAGGGACAGACCGACCCCTTCCTTTCAGAAAGCTCAGTTGCAATTCCTTTCTCTGCCCCTTTGATGTCCTAAACACTTGAAGCAGGTGATGTCCTTCTTGGGTGGCTGTATGAGCTCTTTCTTAGGCTTAGGGCCGGCTCTCAGCAGGGAGAAAGCCAGAGGCCTGCAGCTGGGTGGGGACGCTGGCTGGCACTCAGCTGCCCAGCATGGAGCTAGAAGTTTCAATTGTCCCACTGGTTAGAGAAGGGAAGGGTGCCTCACACCCGTAACCCTGGCACACCAGAGGCTGAGGCAGGAGGCTGGCCTTGAGTTCCAGGCCAGACTAGACTACAGAGTGACCTTGTCCCCTCCAAAAGGACAGTGGGCATAGGCAGCCACCCAGTGACCATGTGGCATCCCCATATACCATTGGAGAAACACAGCAGCCTCTTTCAAGTACAGTTACCCTGTATCCCAAGAGCATGCACCTGCCTGGCTATCTGCGGGTGTAGCAAGAGCTGTCTGTCAGCCAGCCTGTACTGTGTGCACCCCTCTGTAAATCTCAGCCACAGCGTTCCCATGTCTTCTTCTCTGCCAACCACACAGAATGTTTCTGAAAAGACATCACTCCACCGCCTCTCCTTCATCTTCTCCCTACACCCAGGAATCTATGGCCATCATGGGGCTCCCCCCGATAGGTTTCCAGGTCCCCTTGACTGGAATGGTCCTTGTCCAGCACATTGAAGCTTTCTAGCTCTCCACCCTGTCACCAGTGTGTTCCTGAGGGGAGAGAATGTTCCAGCTCTCACTTCTGACCCGGGCTGCCATGCTCACCTCTGCCTGCCGGTAATCCTGCACTTTGGCCAGGTCCTCGGCAAAGTCTCGCATGGTAGCCCGAAGCTCTGGGTTCTCAGTGTTGGCAAAATCCATGAGCTGCTTCACCAGCTGGTCAGCCTTGTCACGCAGCCGGGCTGTCTTGCGCGTGTAGGAGGCCAGCAGTGAGCAGAACTGACCGAAATACCTCTCAGCATTGGTCACAGTGTTCTCCATGGCCTTCACCTGACTGTCCCTGGGTGGGGGGTGATGACACCAAGTGAAGACAAGGTCACGGGCCCTGGAGTCACAGTACCTACCTCTCCAGTGTGGCAGGCACAGCCCGCAGCACCTGGTCCTCAAGCACCTGGTCCCTGGGCAGTTCTAAGTAATAATTCTTGGGTCCATTGAGGCAGAAGACAAGACCTGCCTGTGTCCCATGGCCGAGCAGCAGTAGATGGGACTTTGTGGGGCCTTTGTCCCTGGGGCCTGTGAAGGGGTGCAGCACCCCACATTTCTGTACACACCACTGTCTCAACAGCAGAGGCTCCTCCTCCAACCCTCTCCGCTCCCATGGGCCCTCCCCACGCTGTCCACTCTTCCTCCCTTTTGAGAAGCTTTGGGTTCAATGAATGACCTTTGGGGGATCTATTTGAGACTAAAAGATAGTTTGAGGCCTGGAAAAATGGTTCAGTGGGGGAAAAAAAAACACTATCGAAGACCTAAGTCAAGATCCCCAGTTAAATTGTAGGGTCTAGAGAGATGGCTCAGTGGTTAAGCATGCCTATTGCTTATAGGAAAACCCAGATTCATAACCGCCTGTAACTTCAGCTCTAGGAGATCTGATGCCCTCTGCTGGCCTCCATGGGCACCTACACTCATGTGCACAAATCCACATCTGTATACACACATACATAACTGAAAATATAAAAGTATGAGCTGGGCATAGTCATGCATGCTTTAATTCCAGCACTGGGGAGGCAAATCTCTGTGAGTTTGAGGCCAGCCTGGCCTCCGTAGAGAGTTTCAGAACAGCCAGGACTACACAGAGAAGCTCTGTTTCAAAAACAAAACATACACACATTATTCTCTCTCTCTCTTGAAAAAAAAAAAAAGATCAGGAGTGACACGACATGCACCTGTATGTATCTGCATGGAGGCAGGAGGATGGCTGATTTTGCTGGATGGCAGCCTAGTACCTGGCTCAGTGAGAGACTCTGTCTCAAGGGAGTAAGGTGGAGAGTCACAGACACCAAGTGTCCTCCTCTGGGCTCTGCACAAGTGTGCGCAGGCACACACAGCCAGCCACACACACGTTGTAGACACACAAATACACAATTTATTTTTAAGAGGACTGTTTTGCACACCCTCTCTCATTCCCAGTCTCTCGTTCCTTGCAGTTCATTTGGTACCAGGGATGCTCGGATAGGGGGGGTCATCGTTTTAGACAGCTGTGGTGACTCCCACTGGGTGCGGCATGCTCAGGTGTGACAGATGCACGGTGCCATGTCCCCATCCAGCTACCTGGAGAGTATTTGGGCCCTCGCTCTCCCATTCTTCCTGGTTGATCCCTCCTCCCGCCCCACCAGCCCTGAGCTCCTCTGTGGAGCACCTTGCAGACTCTCGACCACTGCAGTCCACACCCTTGCCCTCCCTGACACACCTACAAGGCTCATGCCACCTCTCCCATGACCCATCCTCGTCCGTCCCTGTCCCCTTCCGTGTAACCTACCCACACCCCACGCTCAGTGATAACACAGGCACTCAGCCTTCCTACAAGCTCAGGGGCCTGCTGCGGTGTCGGCCTCCTTAGGCCTCCCCTACATCCCCCTCTCCCAGGCCCAAGCTGTTGATATCCTTTGCAGCTCTCTCTTCCTAGAATCCAAGCCCCTTCTGCCCGCCCCCACCCCCAGACCTGTGAGGAACATCATCTCCTAATGAGCCTTAACTTTGTAGTTTACAAACGCCCTGGTCACACTCCCCTAGAAGACGTTGCTTTTAAATCAAGTAAACTGAGTTCCAGAGGGGCAAAGCATTCTGTCCAAGGGCACACAGCAGGCTGGACCCCAAGGCAGCATCACCCACACACAGGTTAGACATGCAGGTCCCAGGCTCTGGGAAGCAGGCCCCTTGGGGTGAGACTGGGAAGCCAACTTTTAAGGAGTACCCTAGGTGCATTCAGGGCACCCAGCCTCTAAGCCATAGGGAGACTCAAAGTCAATCAGAGAGGGCAAATAACAGTGAGCCTGGGGCATGAGGCAGAGCAGTGGGCAGGGCACCCGAGGGCGAGGTCTGGGACCTGAGTTGTCAGGGGCTTTCTAGGAGGCACGAGTGGGAAGCAGGGAACAGACCCGTGAGTGGCTGTACCAGTCTCCACGCAGCAAAGGCGAGGCAGGCAGATTGGGTTCTGGAAACCTCTGTGGTCCAAGCTCTATCCTCCCTCCACCTAGAAGGGGTGGCCGGGCGCGCGATCCCGCCAGCAATTCCCTCCCAGCAGCGCAGGCTGCTCACCTGGAGAGGACGACATTCATTGTGGACAGAGGCAATTGCCGCCTTGATCTTGGGGAATAAGAACAAGGTCCCGGGGGTTCCCTAGGCAGAGAGAAGTCAGCCAAGGCTGGGCCCAGCTGTGTGGTCTGGCTGGGCTCAAGGGACTCTGCTGCCTGGTTGCCAGGCAACGGGCCATCCCAGGCAAGCCCTGGGAGGAGCCCAGCTGGTTGCCGGGCAACCAGGGCCTCCCCCGTGGGGTGAGGAGGGCTTGCTTTGGGCTTAACTGCACTCTGAAATGGGGCGGGGTAGGGGGAGGGTAGTAGAGAGACTCCACATGTTTTCAAATATGGAGCTTCTTGGTGTTCAAAGAGCCTGTGTTCACCAGGAGGGGACAGGGAGAGTCCTAAAGGCAGCTTGCCTGGGACTTCACCCCGGGTCCTGGCATAATATAAAGGCCCAAAGGCGGAGGGCCAGGTGGGCGGGGCATAGGAGCTGGTGTTGTCAAGGGTGAGGTGGAGAAGTAGCCGGTAAAGGAGGGGGCAGCGGGGGCGGGGTGGGCAGAGGACTTGCCTGTGAATGAGAAGGAATGAAGGGCAGTAGCTCAGAGCAGCGGTTAGCGTATTAGGCGGTCCTGGGTCTCTCCCTAAGTGTGCGACTCCCACTGTTAGGTGTTAGGAAAGGTGACCCCAGTGTCCGAGCACTGAAACCCCCACTTCCCCAGGTGTATTTTACTCATGATGAGAGGTCCATGTGTCACAGTCTGTCATTTCACATAAGATGCAAAGCTGCCGGAGTCATGCCCAGGCCTGGCGGTGGAGGCAGAGATAGCGTGCGGGAGGCTGATAGCTCCCTGGGGTGGCTGTCACACTGGGTCGGCTTTTTGTGCGTTCCAGCTCTCGCCATGCTGGTATTTGCTTTCAAACACTTGTTAAGACAGGGACTATAAGGTTAGCTGCACCAGGTTCAAATCCCACACCCCAGCTCAGCTGTGTGACCTAAAAGCAAATCACGTGACCTCTCTGGAATCTAGTCGATTGCCTAATTAGGAAGATGGAGCCCCTGGCATTGTGGTGAAGAGGTAGGGTGGGCAGGGCACTGGGAGCTTGGTACCTGTGCAGCTGGCACTCAGGAGCACCCCTGTGTGTCGGTCTCAGGAGCATTTGTGCTATGTTCCCCTTCTAGGGGGCCAGGTCCCCTCAGACAGTATACAGACAAATCTCTGCATGTTCTTTAAGGTACTGCGACCTCTGTTTGGGGCTGTCACAGCCCTTACTATCCACAGGGGCTCTGCCAGTCCTGTGGTTTTCTCTCTGGGTAATGTCAAGTTGTGGTGCCCACAGCCCCAAGCCCTGTTCTACTCCATCCACTATGGGCCTCTTGCTGGGCTGAAAAGAGTCTCCCCAAAGCACAAGTCCGTCCTAAAACTCGGGACATAGCCTTATCGGAAATGGGGGTCTCTGCACATTGGATGAGCAGATGAGTCTCTTTGGCATGGGAGGTGGGGCTCACTTAGGGGCTACTGCTTTGCCCTGCAGAGGAAATACCTACACAGGACACCTGCCCACCTCCTGTGCCTCTGGGGACCCATTCACTGACTGCTGGTGACTTTTCTGCCTGGCCGGGGCCCCCCCCCCCGCCCGTTAATGCTCCAAGGATATGGTCAGATCTTGGGTGCAGGAATGGCTGAACCCTGATAGCCAGAACTGGCCTCTGATAACCAGTGACCTGGTACATCCATCCCTGCCTGCATCCGTCTGCCTGGGATCTTCTCTCTCAAGGGATCAATCAGCTTCCTCAGGAAGCTCTTCCAGTAGTCAACTTCATCCCAGTCTGTCCTGTATTATAACATGTGACCACCAGAGGGCAACAGAGACCATGCTCAGATTCTCCTGCCTGGGGCGGAGGGACTGCAGAGGGTACACAGGAGACTGGAGACACACGTGTGACATAGGTGTCACGGGCAGAGTGTGTGAGGCCTCGTTCACTGGAAGACTTGAGAATATCATGGCTTTTGGAAAAGAAAAACTGCCTTGGGCTACGCAGAACCAAGACATCTGGTGGCCAAAGAGGGTAAGGCTGGGCCTCCAGTTGGCAACCGCAGAGTCCAGGGTGGCCACTAGAGGGCGCATGCTCTCTGTCCTTGTCTGTTTCAATTCGGTCTGTCCTTTTCCTCTGTTGTCTCTCTCTGTTACTCTTTATCTCTGTGTCTGTCTCTGTTTGTCTGTCTGTCTCTGTTTCTATCTCTGTCTGTCTCTGTTTCTATCTCTGTCTGAGTCTCTGTCTCTTTGTCTCTCTCTCTCTCTGCCTGCCTGCCTTTGTCTGTCTCGTGTGTGTGTGCGTGCGTGTGTGTGTGTGTGTGTGTGTGTGTGTACCCCTACAGCCGATGAACATATTGCTGAGCCATATGGGACAGGGACACACACTATGAAGCCCAGCTTGCATCTCAGGAAGGCAAGGGCCTGTGTCCTGGTCACTTTCCACTCAAGAGAGGAGCCCAGCTTCCGTCTTGTGGTAGCTATGTTCTCCACAGCTACATGTGTGCTACGTGGGACCCTGTCACAGCTGTAGATGGCTTTTCCCTCCAGTCTCAGGGGCAGGTCTCACGGCAGTTCAGGTGCCTCTCCCATTCTCTGTGGTGTCTCTGAGGCAGTCCCTGACAGCTACAGTCTTGGACAATTAGGAAAAAGAGGGAAATCCTTGAGTTGGATCCACTTTGGAAACCCAGTGGCAGCTTCAATGCTTAAGGACAAAGGCCAGGAGGGACTGGGATCACTATCGCCCCGGGTCCAGAAACAGAAAACGCTAGGAAGACTCGGCGAATAGAACCTGAGGGCTCAGGTGACCCTCGGCGAGACTCTGCCTTGACCTCAGGTGTGGTGTGTGATTCAGGCGGTCACTTTCTCTCTCTGGGAAGCTCTGTGGCACCCTGGGGCAGGAGCCATGGTCTGGGAGCCATGAGTGTTCGCCTCACCTGCCACCATCCTTTTGGTGATTCATGGGTTCCTAGCACCTGCTTACAGTGCCTGCCTGCTGTGTGACCTTGTCCTCTGTCAGCCTACCTTGCTGTCACGTTCACCTACTTATTATGAAGGGTTTCAATACACAGGACAAGAGAAACCAGACTGGGATGTATATGCCTGCCATCTGGGTCCTCGTGGGCACTTTTTAAGAGCTGAGCGCTGGTCCATCCTAGGACATATGTTCAGATGGATGTGATCTGTCACTGGGGGAGTAGGAGCTAAGTTCCTACTGTGTACACAGCCGTCACCAGGCACTTAGGCCGTGTCTGCGAGAGAACAGCAGACACAGAGCCTTGTGTTCACTCAGAGAACATTCTGTCTGGGGAAGCAGGGGATCCCAGCCAAAAAGATGCTTCAGACAGCCACGTGGGCCTCGGTCTTTCTCTCTGGGTTCATGCACCTCAAAGTGGGAAGGTCTCCATGCAATTGTCTGATAATATTCTGAGGGTTGCTTCCTCAGAGTGAGGTCACAGGACTGTCTCCAGAAAGCAGAGGGCCAGAGTCATGCCTTTATACACTGCCCAATGTTGGGGCATTCCTCCACAGCCAGGAGCCAGAGGGGAAAGAGGGAGGGAGAAGACACAGAGCTTCCTCTACAGGAGGCCCTACTGTGTGAGCTCAGTTTCTACCTCGGTGCTGGTGTGTGTGTTTCAGACAAAGTCCACCTTTGTAAGCCCAGGCTAACCCTGGAACCTGAATTCCTCTTGCCTCGGCCTCCAAGTTCTGGGTGGAAGCATGCCAGGCTCTTGTTTAGCTTGGGTTAGCCCCATGGCCCTTCCCTGCCAGCAGATGGTGAGGGTTGTCGATTTTGGTTTATTTTTGAGGCAGGGGCTCAGGTATGCCAGGCTGATTGTGAACTCGCTATGTAGCTAAGGCTGACCTTGAACCCCCGATCTTGCTACCTTTACCTTCAAGTATAAGATGATAGACTGTGTGCAATTGATAAGTTAGCATATGGCATGTAGAAGCCTGGGGTTTCACCACTGTCCGGCTATGAAACAGAGGCCCTGCTTGGTACCACACAAAGTCAGCACCCTCTGTGAATCCCCCAAGCTAGGAAGCAAAGCCTCCTACCCAGGGTGTCTGAAAGCTCGCGATGATAGTCAGGCCAACCCACACAGCCTCTGGGATGACAGAGCAGCCCTGAGGTCAAAAGTGAGGCCCACGGGATACATGGCAACCTCCGACTTCCTCCTGGAGCTCGGTTCTCACCAGTCCTACTTGGAACAACTGGTGATTTTGTGCTGGTTCCTGACGAGTCACCCCTGCCCATCTTGGGGACTCCACAGCCAAACTGTTTGATTCTAATCCCCGCTCTGGAGATGATGAGATGGCTCACCAGACAAAGGAACTTGCAGCCAAGCTTGATGACCCAAGTTCTGTTCTGGAGATCCAACCATGGTGGAAAGAGAGAACCAACTCCCACGAGTTATCCTCTGGTATGTATGCCCACACACACAATAAATAGCTGGATTTAAAAGCTGGATTCCAGCTCTATTGCCTCATAACTGGAGACTGTGGCCAGCATTGATTCTGGACCTCAGTTTCCCCATCTGTGAAAAGGGACTAGTCAGGTATCGCTTCCCTCAGAGAATGGGGACAGTGTGTGGCACTTAGATAGGCCTGGGTACAGCCTCTGCTCTGTGCATGACACTGCATGGTGGCTACCCTGATTCCTCTCCCTGTGTCCCTAGGCTGGAGTCAGGGTGGCAAGCTTGGGCAGGGAAAGTGGGACAATGGCCAAGACAAGCTCTGCCAACTCAGATGGCTCCTGCAGAGGCCAGCAGCCACCATCCAAGCCACCTGTATCAGAGGGAACAAAGAGTGACCTCCCTCTGGCCTGGCTGCACAGGGACGTGTCCCATCCCGAGGTTTTACACAAGTTTGTCCTTTGAACTGCAAGTGACCCTTGGCCAGGCCTTCTCCCCACTGGCTAGGTTGGCTTGTCCACTAGGGAAGCAACTCACCATGCTAGGCTCAATGACACTTCAGCTGTAGCTGGGACCTGGGACCAAAGCCACAGCCAGGCCACCACACCAGGCCAGCATCCTGGCCCCTGCTCTGCTTACCCCAGGACCAAATCTGTCTAAGGCAGCCATGTGGAGGATGGTGCCTGGCCGTAGG